TGGAAGTCAGAATGATGCCAGTGATTGGAATAAATTGGCTTTTAAGAAGACGCTGATTAGGGCTATTTCAGAATAAAAATAAGATAAGTGAAATGTGGAGATAGGGCAGACAGTGCACTGGCATCATTTCCTGAATTTAGTAATACAGCATCAAGTTCATCTGCCAGTATAGGAAAGATATGCACTTGAGAAAAAATTTGCAAAACATTTTTGGGAACCGCTACAAGGACTAATCACACATGTACAGATATCAAGATTTTAAGATTTTCAATGACCATTAATGGTTGGTCAAACTCTCTCGATAGCTGCAAAATCAGAAAATTTCCAACATTGTATTTCCTTAAGGCTTTATACCACCATCCCCATGATTAGCAGGGCTTATTCATATTGCAAATAATGAAGGAAATCCGGTAATTGTAAATCCGAATGGAAATGAGCAGCTTGCTTATCCGAATCGAATCAACCCAATGTTTTTTTCAATGAAAAATCTGATTACGAAGCGCACGTTTTTACGAAACTTCAGCCATTTGCAGTAAGTCTAAAACCTGTAGCCTCCGGAAATTAATCTGATTGGCATTCCGGGTTTGAGCTAAAAAGTGTCCTTTTATGGACTGCAGAAAGGGCCTTAGCACCCCATACCCTTTTATCTCAGAATTTTGCAAGAGAAAATTTTAGAAAAGGGAAACTTAGATGCCAAACAGAGAATATGGTTAAATAGCCTAGAAGAGTTTGTAAATTTCAACTACAAAAAAAACGATTTTTTTACGTAGTTGAAATTCAATTCAGATTCAGAAAGTTATTGGAAATATTTGACAATTGAAGTTTAAGAATTACATTGAAAGACTTTAGTAAATGGAAATGTGCTTAAAAAATACTTAATCTTCAGCAACCCTATAAAGAGCTATTTGCAGAAATAAAAGGACAGCCTGCATCATGATACTTTCTGTGTGGTTTTCTAGCGCTCTAATATCGCTAGCGCCTTTGTTAGGCTGGAAGCAGGTAGCCGCCTCACATCTGTTTTTGAAAAGAAAAGTTAATATTTTATTTCCAGACAGCTATCACTCCAAATCTTATTTACGAAAATGACTATATGGTGCGTCAATGTACATTTCTCGATCTTCCAAGCTATACGGTTTATTCGGCTACCGGTTCATTTTTTATTCCAACATTGTTAATGTTCTTCGTTTATTACAAAATCTATCAAGCTTTTGCAAAACATCGTGCTCGGCAAATTTATCGTCAAAAGGTTAGGAATACCACTTCTCCTACAGTTATTTTTTTCTAAATACTCTACTTTAGGTGATAAGGAAACACATTGAATCTACTATCCTTCATGAGATCAGCCATGTATTACCCGCGCCTGATGTATTCGACAAAGATGAAGAAGAGAGTAAGTTAATTCTAGAATAGTATCTTCAGA